TTTTTTGGTTGTACGCGTCTTTCTTGGTATGTGAAGTGCCTGTTTCCCTTGCTTTTGAAGAAGGTGGGAAGGGGGTGTTCGTTCCCTCTAGCATGTCATCTCTCTCGGAGGAGCTCCTGAAGCTCGCGGGGCTCTTCGAAAGGGGTATTCTCTCGGAGGGTGAGTTCAAGGCTGCTAAGGAGGCAGCAATCAAATCCTACGCACCGACGGCGCCAACAACAACGACGTCGACGACGGATCGGACAAGGGATTCTAGGGAGGAGGTGGGGGACGACGCGCCCTTTTTACATGTCAATGTAAGCGCGTTCAGCGATGATTTTGCAGGGCAATCTAAGCGTGAGAAGGTGTACAGTGTCCTTGAAACGATCCTGAGAAACCTCCAGCAATTCCCATCCGAGCCAAAGTACAGACAACTACGTCTCAGCAATCCGGTTCTACAGTCGCAGCTCTTCAGCGTACCCGGCGCCATGGAGTTTTTAAACTCTGTCGGTTTTGAGGTCGAAACAGGCAACAACGGAGGTGATGAATGGATGCGGCTTCCGGAGGGGCCTTCGCGGAAGCTGATCGAAGAGGCTCTGGGCGCAATCCGTTTCCTACGTTGCCGCGACCAAGATGCCCAGGCCCAGACCCGGGACAACATACGGCTCCGTGAGGGTCTTATCCTGGAGGTGCGTCGCGAACGATGTGAAAGGGCAAAGGCCGTTGGCGAGTTGCCCTCCTACATTGCGCAGGAGTTTTGTTCGGACGACGCGGGTGATGGCCTTTCTACTTCCGCGTCAAATTTGGAACGATTACACGGTGTTTTGGCGAACTTGCTAAATCACCCCGGCGAGGCGAAGTACCGCAAATTGCGAATAAGCAACCGAGCCGTTTACAGGGCTGTCCTGCAGCAGCGTGGGGGATTGGAGCTCCTTGTTGACTGTGCGGGTGGCGAGCTTTTGGAGGACTCAGGGGAGGCGTTTCTCGTATTCCCCGAGGTTGCGGCTAATGAGGGCAAAATAAAGTGCGCCCTCCGGGTTCTGGAGGGGGCGCGGTCAGCTTTGCAGGCTGCCCGCGAGAAAATTAGCCAGTCTGAGCTTGAAGAGGCGAGGGAGGCTATGCGCGGCGAGCTTCGGCGGGCGCGGCAGGAGGAGGGGCGACGGCGCCTCGCAGAGCAAAAGGAGGATGGGGGGCATTCGGCGCCGGACGCCACAGAAGGGCCGCGGCGCCGTGTTCCAATAGCGGAGGCCGTGCGCTACCTCATGGGGAGGGCCGGCGTGCCCGAGGTTGGCGGGGGTGGCTGAGGCCG